AAAACAGAGATATAAATGCTTAATCAAACAAATGGATAGGTTGAGAAAAACAATGAGTAGCAAAGATCTTAATCAAAAGCTGCAGTAAGAAATCTCTTTAATCTTCCTTTAGGAGCCAAGAGTTTCCACACATTTCTGGTTTTCATATGGTTCGTTTCACTTGGTTTGTTTCATATGGTTCTGAGGAGCTTAGAAACTCAACAATGCCTGCCCTAGTTTAGTTCTGCAGCTAGGAACACTGGGTAGATCACAGCACTGCTATAAAGACCTTTAGCATTTGTAAACTGTATCAGTGGCATCTCACAGCAAATGTGAGTCTATCTTACCAATATTTATCTCAGCCAAAAACAAAAATGTCTTAGCATCCTGATTAACGCACGTGGGAAATTAAATTCCAAATGCATGGACTGACTAATATAAGCAACTGCTTATATCACCTTATTTTGTTTCTCCTTGCACAGCTGACAAGAGCACAGACTATGCAAACGTTTACCAAGGTTTATGGGACTGCACCGGGGATCACCCAGATGAGCTGTCTTTCAAACGTGGCGAGGCCATCTACATCCTGAGCAAGGTATGGATCAGGGCTCTTGGTGTCAGAGATCAACTACTGTTTTCTCTCCTGTAGAGGATAGGAGTTCATCTCTGAGGAAATGTAAAAACGATCAGGTCTGCTGACTAAATGATTTTCTGACTCTACTGATTAGCCTTTCGAAGCTAAACTGTCCAAGTCCTTAAAAGAAGCAGATTTTCTTGATGCGTTACTGGCAGTGCTTGTTTCTCAGCCTGAGGGGACGCTCAGAGACGGACCTGGCTAGAGGATTTTCTCTGGAACCCCGATACAGAGGATCAGATGTGTCGCAGTGGAAACTGCTTTAGTGCCGTTGGCAGATCCTGGTTTTAGCTGGCACACAACATCATTTCATCACTCCCATCTGAGGTATTTCAGTGGTCTGTCACTGCTGCCACGCCAGGCGCTGAGCTGCCAGGAGCCCACACACACCTCTCATGCATCTGTATCACCTCTCTAAATATGAATGTGTGTTCTCAGGAAACCCAGGCTTAGCTTTCGGAACAGGTGAAGACGTGTAGTGGATGCGCAATTTCCGAGGCTTGTCAGCCAGGCGTGACCAGGAGAACTGAGAGCTTGTTCTTTACCTTCACTCTGTAACCAAACAGGAGTTCTTTTGTACTTGGCTGCTTTGAGTAAGCGCCAAATAGGATTTATTGATACATTCCACATTTGGAAGAGTGGTCTTGAAATAAGAGGTGGAATTTCATATTTTTACAGATGGATGTTGGATCATGTGGCATGTTTGAAGAAAAAGTGTGAAATGTGCTCCATCTGAACAGACTATGTTTCTTGTCTGGTTTAGTTCCTATGATGCATGCAGTCATATGGGACATACTGCTAACAGCTGGCCAAGTAACTTTTAAAATTCAAGTCTGCCATCTAGTGGCAAAGCATATAGCTCTTTTGTTCACATAGGTTGTACAACTCATTGGTGAGTTACTGTTGAAAGCTGCCTTACTAACCGAAATAATAATTTAGTACTGGTAATGGTTAAATATTATTTAATGTTAATCTCAAATTACAGGAAATGACTTAATCCAATACCTGAAATAAAAAACCTTTAAACTGTGAAAAGGGGTTGTGGAGGGAGAAGGAAAAAATAATAATAAAGTAATATATTTTTAAATCAGATATACTAAAGTAATCTTGGTAATGAAACTATATTGTCTTGATAACAAAATAATTAAATAGAAATTATTAGATTTCTGTAATTAAGAGACTGAAATTTGTTTTGTATGTCACACTGGGGAATAGAGCATCAGCCAGACTAATTCTCAATTGACCAATCAGTCATTACTGTGCAAATCCAAATGCACAAAGTGCAAACCCCTAATAATGCTTATCGGCTAAATCCTGGTTTATTGTTCTGTCCTGTTGTGTGGAAAAAAAACAAGAATCAAGTTGCCCTTTCACTGCCTAAGAGTGCCATTAGCTGAAACCTTGGTGTTGGGGGTTGTGGCCTGCTGTGAGTGCAATGACCATAAAACCCGTCTGGACTACAGCCAGCTGCAGCTAAAAGCTTGGCCGTCTCCCTTCCTCTTCCACAAGTCTCCTTTATCCCTCTGCCTTGTGTCCCTCCCCCACCACAGATCCCAGTAATAGGTGTGGTGTTTCAGCTATGAGACCCCTCCTGAAGACAGGACCTGAGAGTTTGGTAGCTGTTCGAATAGGCAGCGCACGCATGTCCACAACCCCATGTGCCCCCCCCACAGAAAGTGAAAAGAATAATGAGCGTAGCATCTAAGAACTCATCATTAGGGGGAACGACTTCACATTTCATCTTGATGAACTGATGCAACCGAAGAATTTCCTGTGGTACAAGTAATTCAATTACGACAGCGTGACCTTTTTCGGTTTTGGGAGTTTGCGTTAATGTGCGCGTGTTCTCACAGGGTGTGGTATTATTAGTCATCCACAGCTCTGTATATTTATTCCCAAGTTGTGTCCAGCACTCACTCAACCTTAACTTATTTGTCAGCCAGCCAACTACACAATGAGGTGTTGCTGTTTTCAAAGGCTGGAGGCAGGAAGTCATCACACGCAGAGACACACACGCGTGCACGTGCTCACGGACAGCCGCGCACACACACCACACACACACACACACACACACACACCCCTCCGCCCACACCCCACCCCCCCACACACACACACACACCACAGCCTTCTCCTCCAGTGGTCCAGATGAAATGTCATTTGGACCATGTAACACACCTTTAAAGTCAAACAATTATTGATATGTTACAATATTAAAAAGCACTATTCAAATCTTTTAAGTTTTTGATACTAATTTGAGAATCCAACCAAAAAAATCGCTGACAAATATTGAGAGTTGGTTTGTTATAATTAAAAAATGTTACTGAACTTTTAGTTTTAATTCTGGGTTTTTCCAGACAACCAAAGAAAAGACATGCTGTTTGGCACTGGCTGTCCTTGTGGGCTAGTCTGCTGAGCAACTTGACATAAACCTAAGATCTGATTCTAGCTTAAGAATAATGACAAAATATTGCTAGCTAGTAAATGTTTGAAATTTATCTTAACGAGCCATCATTTAATAATTACCTGTTATTATGTGCTGTTCATTAGCAAGAAACACCTCTTGCTGGCAAGTTGGGCTTTAGCATCGGCACTGTTATGAAAAAGATTTAAAGTTCAATATAAATTTCTTTGAATCAGAAACCTTCTAATGGTCAAACCCTATGATGGCTCTAATCCTGTAATATATTAATCCTGTTAATTTCTAATTACTAATAATATATAACTATTATTCTACATCAATAATCATCACCCCAAAACGATTGCATGTAAGTCAAGGCACCAGTGTCATCATGACAGTCAAGAGTTTAAATATATAAGCAGTTTGATAGATTAGAATTTAAATCATTTGCCTTTTATACCCTCTAAAAGTAATTTTTCTAGTGCAATGGTCTATTGTAAAGTATTTATAAGTGTTATGCCAAGACTCTCACACAGACTGCAAATGCTCTCTTCTTTATCTAAAAAAATAATCTAACACCAGAATCTGGTTATTGCTAATACTGCTACCCAAACATGTAATGCAAAGTGAAGTCTTGCATCTAATTCACTGACTTGTGGCTCCGGCTTGTCCCCGAATTCTGCCCCTAAAATGTTCCCTCAGTTTGCCCTCCTTCTGCCTTGTCAGAACCTGAGCTCCAGTCTTGATTCATGTTCTGGAAAGACTTTGATGTGAGGTCAGGCTCTTGTCCAAAAAGAGAGAGATGGTCTCAGATCTCCCCTCACGCTGTCTTTCTCTCATCTCAGCATGCTGACAGTCACTTGGAGATGTGTCCTTTTAGAGCTTAATGGACACTGAGATCAGTAACAAAAATAAATGTAAATCTACATCAGAGAAAAGTCAGGAACTTTGCAGAAAGACCCCAAATGAAATGCAAATGATAAATTATCAAAAACTGGCTTAAAGACAAATCAGGGAAAAGACTTTGTCTAAATTTTGACAAATAATAAAAAATTAAAAACCCTCAAAGCTGTTATAAAGTCATTTGGATCACTTTGTGTGTGGAGTCTCATCAGATCATCTTTTAAGCCACTGCTTTTTATTTCTTTGTGTGCCGAGGGCCTTTTATTTCAATGTTGCAACCTGAGATTGACAATTACACCGAGGCTCCTGGGTGTGATTCAGCCTATAATCGCTTTTTTTCTCGCTAATGATTAATTAAACAGTTTAAGTAAGGGGAGTCATGCCTATTATTCTTGTTTCTTTGCTTCTAGGAGTACAACAATTTTGGCTGGTGGGTCGGAGAGAAGAATGGAGCAATCGGCATCGTTCCCAGAGATTACCTGTTGGAGCTGTACGTTATGTAAACGCTCTATGCTGCTGAGACTTCTGCTTTCTCCACTTACCTGCTGTTTCATATATTGGGGTTGAGACCTGGGGGATTTTGAGATGAATCCAGTGTTTCAATATTAGCAAGCCTGATGATTATAAAAATGGCGATTTGACTGAAAGTATATTTTCAGAATTTTTCTGCACTGTGTATTTATTTTCTGTTGAAATTATTTGTGATGCCATTCAAGAGCTGCTTTTGGCGAAGATAATAAAAATTCAAACACTCACTGATGTCTTTTTTTATATATATATACTGTATATATTTACCCTTTTTTTTAAGCCACAAGGTGGCAATCTAGTTCCTTACAGGATCATAAGTGACCTTTGTGACAGAGCAAAAATCCTTACCTGAGGTTTAAAAGCCATATTAACAAGAATATATATAACCCACCTATTTTAACAATACTAACAGATCTTCAATATACAATTTTTAGGATAGATGACTAAAACGTAGTTTGTCAAAATTTCTGTCCCACGCTTCAAAGCGACCTTTTATTTAAAGCACCTGGGAGACTTTCCTGGGCAGAGGATCACAGCGGCGGCAGATGGGAGGTTGTGCCGCCTGCCTGACTGTAACAGCTGAGGTGCACTAATAGGACAGGCAGCCGCACAGAAAGCCGGGATGCTTATCGCCCTCCGAGGAGCTGTTTGACAGCAGAAGAGTCGGCGTTAGCTGTGCAGCGTCCCTATGAGGTTAGATACATATAGTGTACGTGTGTTTTTCTTAGCTTTTTTTTGTATTATACCAAAACCGGGTTTCAATTTCAATGCACTCTGACAACGTGGCCTTGTCGGTTTTTGTTTTTTCTTTCAAGGTTGGGAGCTGGGAGAAGAGAGGAGTGAGAAATGGAAAGAAAAATGCATTCATCAACCAATAACTCACTGTATCTATTTTTCTTTTTTCTGGCTGCTGTCTCTCTGCTTTGTTCGAGTTGAATGATGAGCCGTAGTCCTCTGTCCTCTGGGTGACATTCAAAGAAAACATAAATCTTGATTTTTATGGTATGGTGCAGCAATAAAGCCTCCCTTCTAATTGGAGATGTAATGAATTACTATAATTACATATTGAATATTCAGCACTGGAAATGGAGAAGAATGGCTTTGTTTTTTCTTAATGTAGAAAAACTAACAAGCGATAGGACATTAGAAACTGTCATTGTGTTTAAATCTTTAATTCTGTCAAAGATCATTTGTGAATTTTAAGCCCAGAACAATAAGGCTGTGCTAAGCCATTCACAGCCCAACAGAAAATTTCTACGTTATTGTGAAGCTGAAAGAAAACTGTGACATTTCGATTTTCATTTTCTACTGCATATCCGGGGTCGGGTCGCGGGGGTAGCAGCTTCAGAAGGGAGGTCCCAGTCTTTCCTCTCCCCATTCACTTCTTCCAGCTGTTCTGGGGGAATCCCAAAAAGTTCCCAGGCCAGCCGAGAAACATAGTTCCTCCATCGTGTTCTGGGTCTTCCCCGGGGGATTCCTCCCAATGGGATCTGCCCTCACCAGAGGCGTCCGGGAGGTATCCTGACCAGATGCCCGAGACACCTCAACTGGCTCCTCTCGATGTGAAGAAGCAGCGGCTCTACTCTGAGTCCCTCCCGGATGACTGAGCTTATTTGTTTACAAATATGTATGAAAGGTGTGGCCTATATTTGTCCTACCTTTGCAGAAACTTATGACATCGCAAACATTTGTCTGTTCCTCTCTGCACAAAAGCTCAAGCCATGTTGAGGTATTTGGGTCGAAAATATCTGTGATTTTTCCAGATTTCAGGGCTGGACTTTAACTAGGCCATTTTTGTATATAAATATGTTTTGATCAAAGCCGTCCCATTGAAGCCCCAGCTGCCTGTTTGATCTGTTCTGCAGGAAGGTGGGTCTTTGTCTCAGGTTCAAATCCTTTGTCTATAACTCCATCTTCTTCCTACCTTTACTTTCTCTGATGCAGAAGAGTACTTCCACAGCATGATGCTGCCACTACCATTCTTCCCCATGGGGATAGTGTGCTCAGTGTGCTACGCCGTGTTACTTTTTCTGCGTAAAAAGTAACACGGCAGGTTTAGCCGAAAAGCTAAATCTCGTCTGATTAGACCAGCGTTTTCCACATGGTCTTTAAGCGGAACTTTTCTTATTCAACAATGGCTTTGCTCTTGCCACACTTTCACAAGAGGTCATGAAAGCACGTCGTGGTCCTGTCAACACGTTCCTCCACCTTGGCTCAGTTGTGAACCTCTGTGGGCTCCTCCAGAATCACCACAAGCATTTTGTCAAATTCCCTTAATAATGATCTCATTGTTTAACTTATGGGGTTAAATACGTGTCTTTGGTTTGCAGCTGTGCTGTAGTTTTTCTGTTTTCACATGATGAATTGAACTGTGATGTGAGACGTTAAATACTTGGCGTATGTGCTAACCCTGCTGTAAACTTATTCACTTCTTTATTTCTGACCCGTGCCTGTCGGTCTTTATGTTGCACTAATGTTATCTAGCAAACCTCAGGCCTTCACAGAATGGCTTTATACTGTGAATGAATTAGAAACAGGCAAATTCACACATCTTAAAATGGTTGCATTGGGTTTTATTTATAGAAAAAGGGAGTAGGTTATGATTGCGTGCAACATTATTTATTCAAAAAAATCTCTCAAAACACAATCATACACTCATTTCTGCAACTTTGTCATATAAATGACCCTAAACATGTTAAAATCTGTGCTTGTAACGTGATAAAATGGGACAAGGTTCAAGGTATGACTACTGCAGTGAAACATTGCCTTCATTACTGAAATAGGGCCAGTATTTGCCCTTTTGAGCCCTGCTTTTTAAATATTTGGCAACGGGTCATCTAGTCAGTGGCAAACAAGGCTAAAAGCTGCCTCTCATCTTTAAGTGCCAATAAAAAAAAAAATCCTTAATGGATGACAACTTCACCCCCCTGTCTCTTGTTAGTTCTGGACAGGCACATCTTCAATATATTTAGGTGCTTCTAATGCAATTTAAAATCAAGATATAATGTTCAAAGGATAAATGCCATTGTGTCATTGATCCTCCAGCGCAGTAAATAACACTAATGATACCAGAATATCACTAATTAATACTTTTACCCCATAAAAACACACCTTCACAAGCTGAATATATATGAACAGAGCTGTTGGGGGATGATGAATATATTTTGGGTTTGGTGGTGCAGGGAGCTGTCAGTTTTCTCATCTACCTTAGATAAAGCAATTCCAAAACATTTTAACTAACATAAATTATCAATAAAACTCAATCCTTTTCATCGACATTGTTTGTCGGCTGCAAATAATGTCCTGACATTGGTGCTATCATGTTTGTTGACTGTTAGCAAGCACGGAGTGAAAGTGCTGATGGTTGATCTATGCTGCTCTCCTTGACTTAATCAGTCAGTCGGCTGTTGGGTTATTGGGCAGGTCACTAAGCGGCAGGTCTCACCTCAGCTTCCTGGAGAGTTTCTGTCAGGAATAACTCAGGCTTTATTCATGTGAAAACTCCAAGCTTTTTGCAGGATATGCATCACCTACCCCACCCCAGATCATCCCCCATATATCAAGATTCAATTAAAGCTCTTTCCCCCCCACATCTGGGTTTGAACATTAAAATATAAAATGGTCACTTTTTAACTGCAAGTCACTATTAACAGAGGTCAGTTTCGTTTAACATAATTCAGCAGCAAATGTGGTGCAATTTGGTTTATGACATTTTCAAAGATGTGGCACATTTAAAGTGAAACTTACGGATGTCATAGCATACGGAGTCCTGCAGAAATCTTTATGCCTTTTGAAGTTTTCAGTATTCCGTCTTGCTACAACCACAAAGTTATATTTATTTATTGTATTTTATTAAAATTTTATGTGATTGAAGACATGCATAATTATGAAGGTGAAGCAAAATGAAATGTCTTTTTGTTCTGGGAGAGGAAAACGGGTCACAGCTGATGGGCAAAATGGATGAATCCAAATAAGGCATCAGTGGTAGACAGACAAAAGTTGCAAAAGACAAGAGACAGAGATGAAAGTTCACCTCGGAGTAGGTCAGTGGCTCTCATAAAGCTTCCAGAGTGACAATGGTTTAAATCAGAATTATGGCCCGCAGGTCATTTGCAACCGCCAGCAGATATCTGGCTCCTGCTGTAGTTCATGGATGGTACAAGTTAGATCTGCCAAAAAAAAAAAAAAAGTACAACTTGTGTTTATTAGTCTATTTTCTGTACCGCATTCCACAATTCAACACCTACCCAGCTGGGGAATGGCATCCGGGCCAGGCTTGCAGCGTACACCTGGTAGCTGCGTTGAAATGAGGTTGGATCAGATTCACACCATAAATGAACTGCTCTGGAGTTCATTTGGAACAGAACCACACCTCAAATGGCTCAGTTACCTTCGCAGTCACGTTCTGTTTCAAATAATGAGGTCATTATTTGAAGCAGAGACGCATCTAAAAGTTGAAGGACAGCAGCCCTTGAGAAGTGAATTTAAGGACCCCTGCTGTAGAGAATCAGTGGCAAGATGTGACAATTGATGTTTCTAGATACGCTTCATTTAATATGATCACCCATTATTCCTTGCAATATAGCTCACGCTCAAAGATATAAGGTGGTAGAGACGTAATGTAAGAGATTCACAGTGAAAAGTGTCTCTATAACTATAAAAATATAGTTCATATATATCATATATATCATTATTTAAAAAAAGGGAGAAAACTACTTATCATTTTCCTTTCATTTTACAATTACATGCTGTTTTTTTGTTGGCATCTGACATATAAAATACGTTTAAATTTCTGTTTGCCTTCTAATTTTATGAAGAAGTCCAAGAGATATGAATACTTTTGTTGGGCAGATTTTCTGTCTACTGCAAAGGCGTAGAGTTCTTTTTAAAAGTTTTATGTTGTAAAACAAGAAATTAGCTGCCAATAAATATGAAAACTGAATGGGCTCTTTATAGGCACCACATGGTGTGAGGTAGCATTGCCTTCTATCTTTTTGTCTTCGTTCAGAGAGACGAGTAGTTTAAAGGTATCAGTTTTTCTTGCATTAGCGGTCAGAATTCCACCTTAATGCACATAACACACCAGCTGATCCTTAATGAAGCTGTTACTGCAGTGAGTTTCTCTCACATACTCTCCAGTACACATCACCACCGCAGACAGGACTCGCGTTCCAGCGCGAGAGGCTGGCAGCCAAAGCTGTCACGAAGACCAGAGCTGTGCCCCTGTCATCTGAGTCGAGATAAATCAGGCTTTTCAAAGTGACAGGTGTTTGTTCACCTGCCATAAACATTTCCCACATCTCGCTCCTGCTCATGTCTTTGCAGATTATTTACTAGTCCGCGGGCACCACAGCCTGCCCCCCTGTTTACTCTCTTGTTGTAGCTCTGATAGCAGGTCAGCGATCGACAGCTGATTTACAGTACTAGTTAGCAAAGTGAGTAATGATCCGAGACGCTTTGGGAGGACAGCTTGTAATCAGCAGAGGTCAGAGAAGCATGTGAGGCTCTAACTGTAATTACAGCCCTCTGCAGTCTTCACACCCACATGAACTGCAGCTGAGTGACTGTCATTCCTTTGCAAACTGATCAGCCTCATCTCCTCTTACTGTTCCTTCTTTGCTACCCTAAGTTCTGTGCCTTCAGTTTCCTCTTGAGTTTCTATCTCAGCTCTTTATATAGCCAGTCCTTGTAAGACAACCTCTTGGAGGAAGTAAAGGTGTTAAGGCTAAATTGCAAGAGCTCCCCGGAGTAACTTAGAACCTTGGTTTAGATGTTGTTGCCATCATTCCTCTTCTGTGTCAGCTTTAGTATGTGGTTTGAGTTAATGTGAGCTGATTTAGTGCTCAGTTAGCAGATGAACCTGCTAATCACGACAATGTGGCATAAGCACACAATGACTCTCCACTTTATCAGAGTCATTTGTGAGTGGCAAAAATCTTAAATTATAGTTTGACATTTTAGCCATATTTGGTATTTGAGAACCGAACATGATTCTCCTCTGACACAGAGATTTTAGGAGTTTGGATAGTAGACATTTT